CTTAATAATGTACCCTTTCACTGTATTTCTTTCACGGTCACACTATTGTTTTTTTAAACCCCTTTATTAAAATCTTGGGGGGACACTTGGCAAAAAACCCCTTCACACTTGCCCGCGCCACAACGCTTTTATTTTCCAGATCACTTTTTAAAAAAATGGCTCTCCCCCCACTTGTGTGGCCCCAGGCAATTAAAAAAAAAAAAAAAACTTCTAGGATTGTTGATACCCTGACACACTTAGCAAACCCCTTTCAGAACACTTGTACCCTCAAAAACACTTAAAAACCCCCGGAAACACCACGGCCCTACTAGCCCGCTCGCTGTGTGTGTTGTGTGGGTGTGTGTGTGTGTGTGTGTTGTGTTTGTGGGGTGTGTGTATTGTGTGTGGGGTATTTTGTATAAAAGTAAAAAAAATGATTTAATTTCTCATAAGTAATATTAATATTACCAATTTCTTACAAAAAAAAAAAGGAAAAAGTGAAATCGTAAGGGGGGTTTTTATTTTTTTTGTTTATGAAGCTGATTATTGATTTTTTTACTTTGTTGGACGTAGGGGAATTTCTGAATTTTCCCCTTTACTATTTTTTCAGTGAAAACGGATTAGAAAATTACAAGCGAGTGGGCCCAATTTTTTTATCCCCAAAAAATTCTAGTTAGCCCATTGTCCCCGGGGGTTTTGTTGTAGCTCCCCACCCACAACAAAAAATTAAAAAAGAAAAATTTTCTCTCTCTGCTTTCTTATTGGAAAAATTACCCTATTTTTCCTTTTTATAGGAATGAATAAAATAATTTAAAAAAAGAGGGGTAAAAATGTTGAAAAGGGGGAAAAAAAATACGGGGGAAAAAACAAGGAAAAAATAGATAAAAAAAAATTTTGAAACTTGGGATTTTCAGGATATTTTTAAAAGTAAAAAAGAAATCAATTTTAGGGCCCGAAAATTTTAAGTGTATTAAAATTTTCCCCCCATAAGAAGCTACATTTTCACCCCACTTTTTGGTTACACGTCCTAAAATTTAAATTTTATGAATGTCAATATTTCCACATCACATAATTGCATTTAGGTGCATAAGGGATCATCACTTTAGGCTATTTTAAATTTAAAAATTATCATATTATTCCTTGCTGAGAAACAAAATATTTTTGTACATTACTACCTAGTTTATAAAATTAAAATTTAGTTTTTCCTATAATGTTAAAAAATTTTAAAGGGAAATTTTGGATTAAACTAAGGGCGGATGCGAGAAGTGGGGGCCTAATAAAGTGGAATGCACGTGGAGAAGAGAGGGGTGAAGAGGGGAGGGGAAAATTTTGGGGGTGTTAAGCGAGTGTTTTAGGGAAATTTTGAACCCCCGAGAGGGGTAATTGTGGTAGTTAAGGTGGGGGGGGTCAAATGAAAAAGACCCCTTTTTTGAAAATTTTGTATAGAAAGGGCTTTGGGGTTTTTGGTAATACATATTTTAAGAAAAAGGGGACAAATTTTAAAACAAAATATGATGGGGGAAAATAATAACAGTAAATTTGCTGGATAATGAATTGGGGAGATAAAAAAAAAACTGGGTAGGCTTTTATGATGTACCTATTTTAGAGAGGCCCCCAAAATATTAAAGAGATCAATTTTTTGTTGTAGCTACATTGGAGTAAAAAGGTTTGTGGGATACAAGGGAAAAAGGAAGCAAAAGTTTAAAAAGAGAGTGTTCAGCAAAATTTGTGGTCACAGGAAATGGGGGGCTGCAGGGAAGAAGACAATATGTGTGGGGGGAAATGATGTAAAAGAGAATTGGGGAAAAAAAAAAAATACAAGGGGGTTTTTTTTTTCAAAGAAAAAGTTGCACGGAGGGAAGAGTTTTATGCAGAGAAAAGAAGGGTTTGGAAAGGGGGGTTTAAGCAAAAGTAAAAAAAAAGCAAATGAGAGAATGGGGGAGATGTTGTTTAATTTAAAATTTTGTTTTAAAAAAAAAAGAAAAAGTTTTGGGAAATGGATTAATAAGTTGAGGGAAAACCAAAAGAACGAATGGGTTTGACAGTGAAAAAGGGGTGGAGAGTTATTAAAAAAGGGGGTTACAGGTATCGGAAGATGGAGGGGAAAGTTTTTTAGGGAAATTTTTAAAAATTGATGAAGAAGGGGGGGCTGTGATTTTGTGTAAAAGGGCAAGGAAGAATAATTTTCTAGGAGTGAGGGAAAAAGCCGTTGTCAGTGTGGGGGAAGTTTTGTTTAGGCAGTGGATAAAGTGGAAGGGGCTAAAAGGGAGCTGGGATTTATGGAATAAAAATAGGGAAAATAAAAAAGCAGGTGGCGATATAGTTTTGGATGTTTGGAACAGGGTAAGGTACCTAGGGATTTTCAGTGTGTGTGCATAGCTCCTGTGTATAAAGGCAAGGGTGACAAAAGAGAGTGCAAAAACTATAGGGGAATAAGTCTGTTGAGTATACCTGGTAAAGTGTATGGTAGAGTTATTTTAAAATTTAAGTGTAAGACGAAGAGAAGAATAGCAGATGAACGAGGAGGCTTTAGGAAAAGTAGGGAGTGTGTAGTCCAAGTGTTTACAGTGAAACATAGGTGAACAGTACTTAGATAAAGGTAAAGAGGATTTTGTGGCATTTATGGATTTGGAAAAGGCGTATGACAGGATGGATAGGGAGCCAATGTGGCAGATGTTGCAGGTGTATGAAATAGGAGGTAGGTTACTGAAAGCAGTGAAGAGTTTTTAAGAGGATAGTGAGGCTCAAGTTAGAGTATGTAGGAGAGAGGTAGATTATTTCCCAGTAAAAGTAGGCCTTATGCAAAAGGAAGTGTGATGTCACTGTGGTGACTGGGGTTGTAAGAGAAGTGAATGTGCGGGTCTTGGCAAGAGGTTAAAAGATAAAGAATCTAACACAAAGTGGGAGTTGTCACAGTTGATCTTTGCTGATGACATTATGCTTTTGGGAGATTCTGAAGAGAAGTTGCAGAGGTTGGTGGATGAGTTTGGTAGGGTATGTAAAAGAAGAAAATTAAAAGTGAATATAGGAAAGAGTAAGGTGATGAGGCTAACAAAAAGATTAGGTGATGAAAGATTGGATATCAGATTGAAGGGAGAGAGTATGGAGGATGTGAATGTATTCACATATTTAGGAGTGGACGAACCAGCAGATGGTATAGTTATACCAACGCTTTTATATGGGTGTGAAGCATGGGTGATAAATGTTGCAACAAGGAGAAGGCTGGAGGCAGTGGAGATGTCATGTCTGAGTGCAATGGGTGGTGTGAATATAATGTAGAGAATTCGTATTTTGGAAATTTGAAGGTGTCGGATTAACAAAACTATTATCCTGAGGGATGAAGAGGGGTTGTTGAGGTGCTTCGGACATGTAGAGAGGCTGGAACAAAATAGAATGACATCGGGTGTATGTAAATCTATAGTGGAGGGAAGGCGGGGTAGGGCTCGGCCTAGGAAAGGTTGGAGGGACGGGGTAACGGAGGTTTTGTGTGCGAGGTGCTTGGATTTCCAGCAAGCATGCGTGAGTGTATTTGATAGGAATGAATGGAAACAAATGGTTTTTAATACTTTTCGTGCTGTTGGAGTGTGAGCCAGGCAACATTTATGAAGGGATTCAGGGAAACCGGCAGGCCTGACTTGAGTCCTGGAGATGGGAAGTACAGTGCCTGCACTCTGAAGGAGGGGTGTTAATGTTGCAGTTTATAACTGTAGTGTAAGCACGCCTCTGGCAAGACAGCGATGGAGTGAATGATTAAAGTTTTTCTTTTATGGGCCATCCTGCCTTGGTGGGAATCGGCCGATGTGTTAATAAAAAAATAAATAAAGAAGGTAGGCTCAAAGACAATATAAAAATGACACAGCAGAGAAAGCCAAGTCCTACCCGAAGCTGTTGTACAGTCACATCAGAAGGAAGTGCCCGGTGGACAGAGAGAATGTGACAGAGATGGGACACAGCAACAAGGGGTCATAATTAGGAGTTGAAGACTCAGATGAATCACAGGGATGTTAGGAAGTATTTCTTCAGTCACAAGATAGTCAGGAACTGGGAAGCGATGTAGTGGAGGCAGGATCCATTTATAGCTTTAAGCAGAGGGATATTTAAAA